GCTTCAGAGCTGTTAATATATGTTAAGGTTCTTTTTGAAATTCATCAACAATTTGGCCTCTTTATTAATGAAGATGTGAAACATTATCACAGGCAGACCATAAATAGTGAATATTCTTTTCACTTCACTTTCTGCCGTGACTGTAGATGGCTTCATGGCATGCACTTCACTCCAACATAATCAAGAACATATGTGACTTGAATAGACCAGCAAAATCAACATGTATTTTTCTTATGGTTGACTTGGATAGTCCAAACAATGAATTTTATTAGGTCTCTTCTGACCCTGAATATATACTTCATAAGCCTTACATGCCATTTCAGTAACAATAGATATGGTTTAGCCCTTACAAATAGCATTGATGGAGTGCGTACAACACCTTCAATCTCGTAAATATGAGCTCCTGACTTTTTTTTGCTCATTAAAGTATGATTTTATTTCATTAATCAGAACATGCCATTCATCATTAATTCATGTACCCTACTCACTACAGGATCCTTTCTAATCTCCAAATGTATTTCATTTATCATCAAAGGGGAATTAACTGAATCTGTTAATCTCTACTAAAATCGAACAATCCTTTACTAAGGCAATCAATATTACTGTTGGTGTATGAAGAACAAGGACTGAAAGATATTCATTTGTATGTATTTTAGTCATCACTGTTAGTTCATTCACACCAGAATCCCTTATAATGTGACTTGTAAGGAATGAGAAAATCTCCTCTAAAAATTTTAGTTACAGCAGAGTTTGCAGTTCTCCTTCAATGCCTGTTTGGTGCTTGAAGTTGTTTTATATTTCCAATCTCTACTAAAAAAGATATTAAAACTTCAGTAAGAGCCTGAATTTTAAATGTTAATTTTCAAGATTATCACAGCATAATTGTTCTAATGTCATTTTCTGGCCTTGTACCAGATTAAGCTGAGTAAATATCAGTAATGCTTTTTTTTTTCTTTAAAGAGGAAAATAGAAGCAAAATTGAGAATATGAGTTTAAAAAGTTTGTTCACTGAAAAATGAAAACAATGTAATTTCTAATTACTCAAGTGTGTATCTACAATCTCTTGAAAAATCATTTTTATGTTGGTGTTGCTTTTAAGGTTTATTAAACTAATTATTTGTAAACACAAGATTTTTCTCTTTGATCATTTATCAAGGAGGCAAAATGTGTGTACATGAAGTATGACAAATATATTTTACTTTAATCTATTTCAGAAACGAGGTCCCCAGCGATCGGTTGATGTAATTGTGTCTGCATCTTTTCTCTTAACAATTATTTCTGTGACATTAATGTGTTTGCAGGTCAGTAAATAGTATTCTCTTGTATTTCTTTGATGTTTCTTGATACATTTATGAAATCTGGCTAAAATAAATATAGAAATCTTTTGGAAAACAAAAAATGATGTTTCTACATTTACTTTACTAAAAGAAAAGCCATTTTAGACTTTGTAATCTGACAGACATGTCATTTAGGGCTTTTCTTATTCAGATACAAAATGACTTTTTGTTTGCCATTCATGTCAATTTACAGTAGATTTTATTGTGAAGTTTTTAATCAGAATGAAATTTTGACCCCATGGTAGGCTTATTATTTTTCAATATGCTGCAATGCTAATATTAAAAAATGAGATAAAAAAAAATTGTGAACAGCGAAAGTGAATTTAATCATGGTTATGGATTACGAGACAAGAAAATTGTTTTCTTGTTAGGAGACTGCTAAACAATTTGGATAATTTGTAGTGTAAGCCCCGGACACAATTCTAATGATAATTTCCATTTAGGTTTAAATTTACATGCTTAGTTCAAAATTAACATTAAAAGTTTGTGAAAATATACTGTTTTGAAGTTATCGGCAATAAAAGTTCAAACTCATTTGCAATGGGTCTGTCCGCCATTACTGGTGTTGTTTATGTACGTTTGCCTTGAGTAGTCATGCGCAGAAGCTTACTTAGTTAACAACTTTTTTACTGATCTTACTCGTCTCAATTACTGCTCAAAACAAAAAGAAGTCTTTAGACACTTTATAATAATTAAATAAATAATAAAACAAATTGTAATACTAATCTTATTTCAAGGTACTTAATAATCATGTTTTTTAAAACTCCAAAATTTAATAAAAAAACAAACTTTGACGCTTAAATTTGTTCTTGTTATTATTTCCTTTCTAGCATTTTTATTTTTTTGTAAATAATAATGTTCTTTTTAAATTTTGCACAAATTTTGTGCATTGCATGTGCAATAATCAATACAAGTGAAGGTTCAGTTCATGACTATTCGAGGCAAATGTGTGTAAATAGCACCAATAATGGCTGCCATGCTGTAGCCACAACGTGAATGAGTCCAAACTTTTATTATTGATAACTTCAAAAGGGTAGATTTCTGAAAACTTTTACTGTTATTTTTTAATTAAACATGTAAATTTACACCTATGAATTTTTCGTTAGAATTGAGTGCAGGGCTTACACTGCTAATTACCTGACAATTTTGGTTTTGACAAAGATTTGAATGTTGTTTGTATGCAAATACCTTGATGAAAATAGTTGTCTATTACATTATTTACTTTATTTGTCAGCAAATATGATGAATTTGATGGGTTTCAGTTCTTAGTAAGAAAATTCCCAAATACTAAAACAAGTTCTTAAAGTTACAGTATATTTGTGAAAGAAAAATAGAGGTGACATCACACACCTCATGCATTTACAAAGTACCAAGTTGCTTTGTTGTCAGATTAGTAGAAAGTAATAGATATCAACAGAAATTACAGAAAATGTTTGGAGAATTATAAATGCAACAGAATGAGAAGTGATTCTATACAAGGTGTCAAGGAGAAAAGTTTGTTTTACAATGTTTGAAAATCTTTCATTCATGACACTTTACTAATTATCCTAATTAATTGCCAGTTTTCTGGTGAAAGTCAAATGGTACATGGCCATTAATTTTTATACTGGGCTTGAATTCATTTGTTCTGTTTTTAAATACAGTTTCCTCTTTCACTAATTTTTTTGTTGAACTTCCAGTATAACTGATAAACATCTAAAAAATTTAAAATTGACAAATTTTTGTTTCTGTTTATTCTATAGGTCCATTTTTTTTTTTATTCAGTCCTTGTATTTATACAAGACACAAACAGAAATATTTTTGATTTAAAAATATTGACATTTTGCAGCTACTGAAAGACTCTGACACATATCTGGACTATCTTTGTAATTGGGAATTACTTGCCTGGTCCCTGGCCCTTGGTGTATACATCCTTCGGTTTATGACCCTAGGACTGAAAATTAACCAGAAATACCGCAATTTATCAGTGCTTATCACAGAACAGGTAAGAAAGTTGTACTTGATTGATCTTAGATTTACTGTTCTAAATTATCCATTTTTTTTCCAGATCTTGCTGCTTTTTCAAATCTCTGCTCTCTTGTTGAGTTCTGGTTATTTACAAAAATGTCTTCACTGCTGTTTATAAACTTTTGCATATAAACTTCAAAATTCACTTTTATAATCTTTTCTTTTTACTCTTAGGATAAGATGAAAATTTAATTTTTTTTTTATAGATTATACATTTGTATACCTTCATGAATATCTTGAAGTTGCTTCCTGTAGAGCATTGATTTAGCAGTCAATCTTGTAAGTCATTGCTCTACTATAATGGCTTTATGCCAGATGAGGATAAGCTTAATGTACATGTGTGAACCTTATTATCAGTAGTCTTGTGGTAAGTTTGAATTAACTAATCCTATTATGAAACAAATGACAAAAGAATTTCACAATTATTGTTGTGGAAGTGCTGAAAAGCTTTACACACTTTCTAAACCTGACTAAATGTCAGTTGTTTTTTCTAAGTTTTCTTGGATAGGTTGAAAATGTCTCAGTACTCCTCATACAGTAAAGTAATATTAAGAGCCAATTTGCAAAAGTCATTTTTTTACCATTTTGGTAAATATAAAATTATAGTTAGAAGCCTCTAAATGTTGGTCTTTGGTTTAAAGCATCTTTTTCTTATTTGATGTCAGTTTGTCACAATGAGGTAAAATCTCTGCCTGCAGTTCTGTTCTATAGCATTTGGCTTTCTTCTGCAAGTGTGAAATCTTAGCCATTTGTTTGCAGTTGGTTTTCACTTTGAAGATAGACAAATATCTCAACATGTAATTTTCCAAACATTTCACTTTGAACTTATTTTTTTTTTATTATTTTAGTGTTTTTATTGTGTGATATGTGCATAAAACTATGTCCATGGTTTCTGTTGTCATCTCTAAACTGGATCCCCACAATGCAAGTGAACTTTACTGTATCCCTGCAATAGTGCTTAAGAAATGAACTCCTGGACTGGTTCCTGTTCTCTCTAAACTCTACAATAAATGCCTTGCTGCTTCTTGTTTTCCTGCTTTTTGGAAATCCTCTTCTGTAGTTCTAGTCTTTAAGAACTTGGGCAAACTGTCTGATCCTTCAAACTATTGGTCAATTAGCCTTCTACTTCTTTTTGGCAAAGTCCTAGAGGCTTTAATCAACATTGGTTTGGTTAAGAATCTCTCTTTGCAGGGACTTCTTTCAGGTAAGCAATATGACTTTTGCTTCTCTATATCAACTGCTTATATATTAATGATTATTGTTGAAAGAGTCTATCAGACTATGGATAAGAATGGTGAAGTTTATTGATTGGGATATCTCAAAGGCATTTGGTAGGATTTGGCATGCTGGTCTTCATAAGTTGAAAGGTTATGCTATTTCTGGACAAATCTTTGATCCGATTCAATCTTTCTTATCAAATCACAAAATGAAAGTTGTCTTGAACAGCCACCCTTCTAGAACTTTTTGCATTAATGCAGGTGACCTCCAGGGCTCTATACTTGGACATAAGTTGTTTCTAATTTTCTTCAATGACCTTCCTGATGTCATCAGTTCTCAATTCAGAATCAATGTTAATGACACAATTATTTACTCCTGTTTTAATAGTAAGTCTGATCAGTTCAATGAGGTCAAATTGGCAGCTGATCTCAAAAATGGCTAACAATCTTTTTTAACTGGAGCAAAGAATGGCATGTTAATTTTAACACCTCCAAAACAAAACTGCTTTCTTTTAATCACTTGAGAGAACCTATTTTGCCTTCTATCAGCCTGGATCATGCTAACCTCCAGGAGAGTGACTGGTGTGTCTTCTTGGGCTAACATTTTCTGTTGATATGAAGTGGAAAGATTATATTAATTGCTGGGTCTGCTGCTAGGAAAGTTAGTTCACTGTGTCATGATAGGCATATTTTTCTTTCCAGAATCTATCTTACGCATTCATCCATTCATTGAATATTGATGTTACATCTGGTTTGGTGCTTCTATGTATTTAGATATTCTTGATAAATAAAAAAAAATCTGCAATGTTATTAGTTCAGACCTGGCATCTCAGCTTCAGTCATTTTTCCCACCACTATAAAGTAACTTCCCTGTGTCTTTTCTATAAATATTTTCATGGTAATTGTACAGGTGAGCTTTCCTCCTTGATACCTAGGCATTTTGGATATAAGCGTATTACTGGATTGGCAGCAAGATTTCATCATCTTACCATTGAAATGGTTAGATTAAACTCCATAAATTCTATGCTAACGGTTTCTTCTCTCACAATTCTTGCTTGTGGAACTCTCTTTTAGCTGCTTGCTTTCCTGTCAGTGTCAGTTGTTATCTTCTGTCGTATTTGCTGTCCTTTTATTGTTCTCTCTCCTTAATAATTTAAATCTTTTTTTTCATATTCTCTCACATTCTGTAACCCCTTCAATTTTAGTGGCTTTATTTTCTTGCTTGGGATGAAATTATTAAAAACAAAATATATATTCAAATATTTTGCACTATATAAAAGAGTAACAAGTGTATTGTTTTCTTGATCTTTTACATAAAATTTGTCTTGCTATGAATAATTTAGTGCACATTCCAATTTTAATTGTTCTCTTTTTCTGGAAGAATTGCCAAAAATGATTTATTTTAAATTAATATTAAATATAATTGTAAACATAGCAAAAATTGCAATCCATTTAATAGTTCCGTAAATCCTGAATTAAGCAAACCAACAATTGTTGTTCGATTTGAAATATAGCAAATTTCAAAATGAACCTTTTATTAATGGCAGAGAATGAAATTTGAAACAGTTTATGTGAAGAGAATAGTTTGCTTGATTAGTGGTAAGAATATAAATTAATTTAATCAGAAAAGGCTTTAAATTTTTTTTTCTCTTTACAGATTAATCTCTACCTTCAAATGGAACAGAAACCTCACAAAAAAGAAAAGCTTATGTTGGCTAATAGTGTTTTAAAACTTGCTGAAGATCTTCTGAAGGTGAGATAACCACATCCAAATAATCTTTTCAAATGTATTCTTCTTCTATTTTATATCTTTCTTGGGCATTGGAATTCAGTATTTTATTAAAATACCTTTCCAAGCAAGCCAAATTTTTCTAAAATCAACAAGCATTAGGGCTCCAAGTAGTGTTATTTGTTTTTCCTATGGTTCATATATTGCTTATCACTTGAATTTCAGTCATTTTAAACATATGTCCTCTGAACATTCCAATCTATCAATCCTACCATATACATGGCATCACATTCTTTGGATGAAGACCAACCTTTGGTACAATTAGTGATAGTTCACTCCATTCCCCCCACCCCCACCCCGATATTTTTTGCTTTCAATATTTTTGCAAAAGTATCCACTTTTCATTGCACTGTCACAATTTGTTCGAAAAAGAGAATATTTTTATTAAGTAGCATATTGCAGTGGAAACAATATGTAAAAGCAATGAACATAACCAGAATGCTGCAAATGATTGTGGACCATTGATAGTTTAAATATTTTCACTAACTCCTCATCTTTGTTGTTATTATAACAACAACAAAGATGAAGACAAAACTCTGTAGGTAGTGTAAATAATGATAAATCCTCATCCCAGAAATTCGGGCAGAAAATTCTAGTTCTAAAATTTTTTAAATTATACAAATTATAACCTGAAGTGCTAAAAAATTAAAAACAGCATTTCATTGGGTGGTTTAGCTCTACACCATTTGCAGAAATTAAAATTGGACTGATTATATAAATATGGCATAATAGGTAATGTAGCTGTGTCAGCCAAAAGACCCAAAGAAGAACACTTGGTTGATTTCCAGGCAATTCATTGGCACCAAAATTCTTCAGATTTAAACTCCAATGAACACAATTTAGTTATGGAAAGTCCTGGGACATGTCCAGATAGCAATTCCAGCATTTCATAAACTCCAAGCTATGTTATAAAGATGTTGTTATTCAAGTAAAAGGTGGAGCGGGGGCATGCTATTAGTTAGAGGTATCTGTTTGGTTTGGTTTATTTTATTTTCGTTATTTAATGCTGACAAGATTTTTATTGCTGCTAATTGTTCAAAAATGTATTCCTGGTAATAATTTTATCTTCAAAAATTCAGATAGCTTAAATATTTTCACTAACTCCTCATCTTTGTTGTTGTGATAACAACAACAAGGACAATAGTCTGCATGTAAGTAGTGCAAATAATGAAATAACTCCCCATCACAAAGAGAAATGGTCAGACATTGTAAGTTCATTCAGGTAGTCCAGGAATCCTCAATTACAGTGCATCAAATTGATGATAGCCATCACCAAGTGATATAAGGTGGTGCACAGTGACATCACATACAAATCTTATGTGAAGAGGAGAGTTCATATCAGACAAGGTTCGGAGAACTGTGTGATCTGATCAAAGCACTTGCTGAACAAGTGCAAGCAACCAGATGAGAAAAATTTAACTGGATCAGAAGGTGAACAGGAGGAAATGCAGCAGGTGTGGTTCTTCATGTCACAGTCATGCCACCAAACTTCTTCCCACAGTGCTTCAAGGTCAATGTCATGGCCTATATCAATGTACTGACACTAATTAAGCCTTGGAGGTGACACAGGTGTGGTTGGCGAAGCATTTTTATAATCCTGCCAGTCACCTCCTAGTACTTCCTATTTGAATCTCTTGGACTATGATGAGGTCATGCCATAAGTTCTGTCTGAATTTTGAATAAAGAAAACAAGTGACCAAATGTTACATTTAATTACAGATTCAATCAACAATGTATTTTCCCTGATTATCTATGACTTCCTTCCATCTATTAACAAGCTTACTAATTCCATTACTGTAAAATTCTTTTGGCTTTGATTCGAAGAACTCACAAATGTCAGTTTTAACCTCTTCCTGTGTTACAAAAGTTGTTTCTTCCAAATGATTCTGTAAGCTACGAAACAAATGGTAGTCTGAAGGAGCAAGATCGGGAGAATAAGGTGGATGATTCATTTTCTCCGAACCAAGTTCTTCGATCTTTTGTGACGTGATTCTTGCTGTGTGGGGTCGCGCATTGTCCTGATGAAACATCACCTCTTTTTGATTCACTAGAGCAGGTCTTTTTTTTTTTTCCTCAAAGCTTGGTTCAAACGCTCTAATTGCTGACAGTATATTTGAGCATTATTTGTTGCATTAGGTGGTAAGAATTCAAAGTGGATTATTCCTTGGCGATTCCACCAGATTGAAAGAAGAACCTTTTGCCCATGAAGTTCCCTTCTCAGCTGTGGCTGGGGTCCTTCCCCTTTACGACGCTTAACATTTCGATAAAAGATCCATTTTTCATCACCAGTCACAAGTCTATCCAAAAAAGGTGAAACAAGTTGGCGAGAATGGAGAGAAGAGCAGATGTCAACTTGGGATTTGAGGTTGTTTTCAGACAATTCATGAGGCACCCATTTTCCAAGTTTAGGAACTTTTCCAAGTTGTTGAAGATGACGATGAACAGTTGTATGGTTTGAACTGAAAGCCACTGCCAATTCCTCAACTGATAAAGCAGGATTTTCTTCAAGGGCTGCTTAAAGAAGCTTTTCATCAAACTCAACTGGATGTCCAGTTCGATCTTCATCTTCAAGGGTGAAATCTCCACCTCTGAATTTTGCAAACCATCTTCTGCAAGTTCTTTCATTCACACACATTCCTCTCCATAAACTGAGTGAATGTTTCTAGCTGCTTCCTGCTGCTGAGTTTCCTTTCTTGAACTCATAAAGCATTATGTGCCTCAAATGATTCTTGGGTACTTCCATGTTAGCAGGGTTTTAATCAAACAAAATTTAATTTTATTGTTCTCTGAAATAAAATTTGATCAGTTTAAATGCATCTAAACATAAAAATAATGTTCAGCTCCATTAGACATTATAAAATACTCTTTAAATTTCGTTCATTTTAACAAAAAGTTAAAATTTGGACAGAACTTATGGGATGACCTGATACATCTGGAGCATCATAGACAGGAAGACCAACCAACAGCCTCACAATCCCAGAGACTTGTAGGCTACAATTGTGAATTTAAGAGCCAACATGAATGAGAATCAACTAATCTTCTTATGTTTTCATTTTCAATACCACATCAAAGCTGTCATTGAGACCAAGGCTGCTTTTATTAAATAATCTTTTACTGTTTTTCAAAATTAAACTAGTGTCCAAAATTCTTTGAAAATATATTTATTTTTTTTTATTTTCTTTTATAATTTTTCTCAATTACATAGCACACTTGGTGCCATCATTTGAAGATCACTTGAGATGTGAAAATGACAATTACTATGAAATGTTGATTCCTATGTCCTCTCTGTCTATATCTACAAATGCTCTATCTCCAAATATTGAGCACTTTTTCCCCATAGCAAATTTTAAACAAAATATATATTTGGAAAACCTTTTGCTTTATTATTGTTTTCTCATTTCAGGATGTAAAAGATTAACATGTTTTATGAATAAGTTATGGATTTTCTTTTTGTTGTTCAAATTATTCTAATTTACATTTGACCCTTTGCTTGACAGGAATTGGAAAGTCCATTCAAAATCTCGGGCCTATCAGCTAATCCGTTTTTGTACAACCTTACCAAAGTGGTAGTCCTCTCTGCTTTCTCCGGAGTCTTGTCCGAACTTCTTGGCTTTAAACTAAAGCTCTACAAGATCAAGTTCAAGACCTGAGAACCAAGAACCACTAAAAAAATGATTTAAAATTTCTATTTGCATGGAGTCACCCTAAACAAGGGTGGACAGTCATTTGAAGAACATATATGTTTGCTTGTTTTTATGTGTTTTTGTTGTTCATAATGTTAATGTTTGTGTCTGGACATAGAAAATATTGACTACAGTATTCACAGATGGATTTGTCTGCGTGTAAATAGATATTTAGGTTATCTATGAGTCTAGGTCAAGTATGTAGGTGTATGTATTTAATTATGCAGATGTGTGTAAATGGAGACACTTAGAGATATGGATGTGGAGGTATTTGTCTGCAGTGTATATACAATAGTTGCAATTATGCTTGCATTATGTCTAGCCAGGTGTATACATACAGATTGCAAGAGTACTACATGATAGATATTTGTACAAATGCATACATGATATATATATATATGTGTGTGTGTGTGTATATATATATATATATATGGGCACCTCGTGCTGTAGTGATTAGCAAGCTTGTTTTGCAAGAACAATTATGACTGAGTAATGAGTTTGATATTCACTGGGTGCCCCCTACTTTCAGCCTTGTGCCACATCAAAGCTACGCTTGGAAAATCACTATATATATATATATATATATATATAATGTTTTATAGAAAGCAAAATTTGTATATGCTGTTTGTATTTATGGTAAACATGCAAAGTGTATATGTGTTAAGAATATGAATATGCGGGTATATGTAAAATGTATGTGCACACTATACTTAAGTTTTTGATATGTGTATGTACCTATGTACATTTTTTATATACTTAATTTTACATCTGTGTACAGTGTATATGTGTACATAGAATTGAATTAATTTGCCTATACTTAAAGAGTGTGTGTGTGTATGCAAAGTATGTTTTTTATATAGATTGGATTGTGTAATATACTCACACTGAGTGTATACACAAATTTGTATGTGCCAATTCAAAGAGTATGTTTAAATGTGCACATTCGTTCAACTTTTTTTTTAGGTTGAATTTGTATACAGTTGACTTTTTTTTTTCTTTTTTGTATTAATTTGTGTGCAAATGAATGCATACATTTGGTGTGATCCTTTTCAAAGCTGTTTTATTGACTTAGACTGACCCAGACTCCATTTTGATTGCAATTCTTTCATATTCTTGGTCAGCTCCATTAATGAAAAATTTTTTTCTTTCAATGTCTAAACCATCTTTCTGCCGATTTCCACAATTGTCTCAAAATTACTCAATGTGTCTAAACCAAAGTATAGACTGCTCAATAATAAGCAAATTACAAATCAGCAAAACTTTTGAATAACTGGTACTTTTATATTGAGTGTCCTGAAATCCTATAAATAAAACAATTTATTCTCATGGGTCTAATGTATAAATCATTTGTAATGATAAAATAAATCTTTTCTCTTCCTTCTGTTTATCCAAAAGGACCGTCCGTCTCTCCTCTTTTAACGAAATTATGTAAAGTATTGGGACATTTATTACAAGTTTAGTATAGATTCTGCCATAGGAAATTAATAAAGAAACACTTTAAAAATTTCTCATGAAATTTCTCTTTTGGGCACAACCTGCCACCTTCATAGAATATGAGAAGATTAAAACCATTCTTTGGAAATCCTGTTTAGTCATATTTCTATTTATTGGTGTGTATCAGAATACAATATATAGATATACTAATACATAAAAATGTATGTATGTGTCACACACACACACACACACATATATATATATATATATATATATATATATATATATATATATATATATATATAAAAGTAGTTTCCAAATTTAAAATGTATAGAACTTTGATTTTAATTTTATTTATAAACATAATAAACCTGGATTTTATAATGATAGATTCTAAGAAAATTATGAAATGAGTTTAAGAAATGTCAAATATTTGAAATATTTTAAGTTGTGAATGAGAATTCCTTGGCTGGTTTGATAGAAACTAATTTGTGGTTTAATGTTATTCATTTTTTTTCTGATTTTTGAATTTTTTCATAGACTTGTTTTGACCAACAAAGGAAAAAGAAATTCCATAAGATTTAATTTGATCTTCTGTTAAATGATTTGACTTCATTTGAATTTTTATTGCAACAAAATCAGTGGTTAATTTTCTGTGATTAAAATTGAAATATTGGATATTTAATATAGACAACTACAAATCAAGCAGGTTTGTTTTACTTCTCAAAAATTGAAGCCTGCATGTATATTTTTTCAGTTACTGTCTAAACAGCATTTGCTCTTATGAAAAGATGAATTTGCCTCTGAACTTTTATACAATGTCTTCATAGGCAGAATAGAAGGACTTCATTTCACTATTAGTCATATAGTCATTTACCTTAGATTCTATTCCTCAGATAAAACTGAAATCTGTAACTATTTTATTCTTTTATAATTGTAAAAATTGTTGATGACGAGCCCAAATATTACAAGCTTCTGTATTGTTAGATCTTCAATGTACAAATCTAATCAGTAATTCTAATCCTTCTTAATCCAGTGAATAGAGAATAATTTTCAAGGGCATTAGTTACAGTGTTTGCATTTAGGTAAATTTTGGTAGTTTTGTAAATTTTTTCTAATCAGAGTAGCAGATATGAAGTTGTTATTAGTGTGGCTTGAGTTCCAAGATTCCAAGTAAAAAAACAAAAATGTATAATTCTTTATAAAAAAAAAAATATAATAATTATAAACTTTCTATTCTTGTGTGTTTAGACTTAATTGAAACAGAAATTTTCACTAAGAATTAGCAACAGCCATGAAGACACAAATTGCTGTAGAAGGGAAAATGTAAGGAAATACACAATTTTTCTTTTGATTTTTCTACTTTTACAACAGAATTATGTAAAAAAAAAAAAAAAAAAAAAAAAATAAAAATATTTTGTAGTTGTTGTACTTTGATGGATTTTATTTTGTCTATAGTTGTTGGTTTATAAAAAAATGAGTAAAGAAATACAAAATGAGCCACAAATTATAAAAGCGGAAACATTTTTATATATTAAAAAAAAACTAAAAAAAAAATGTTTTGAGTGTTGTGTCAAATATTTTTGCTGTATTTTTTAAAAAAAAACAAAACAAAAAACTCCAACACCCAGAAAATGCTATTCCTCGCTGCACACACACACACACACACACACACACACACACATATATATATATATATATATATATATATATATATATAGAAAGATATGCAGAAAGATTCCAGACTTTGCAACTTATGTGTGTTAAGTATATGTCCAAATTTTCACATCACCCTTTGTAAACTGATTTTAATTTTCCAAAGAGAAATACACATTTTTGAAATGTGAAATGATTGTTTTGCTCACATCCTTAGTTCTCAATGAAAGCATTTAACAAATATTATATTTTGATTTATTTTGTATTGGCAATGTTTAGGTTTAAATACCTGCACAATACAATTTTTTTTATAGATAAACACACACGCATAAGTGGAAATTGAGTGGTGACAGTCTGTTTCCTGCTTAAACGTATTCAGGTATGAAAACCGACTATTATGACTATTACTACAGTGTCTACTTTTATATGTAGATACACTATTCTCCCTGATATTGACCACTTCTTACCCATAACAATAGCATACCTTAAAACTGTTTTTATCATATATATATATATATATATATATATATATGATGATCAGAAGAACTCACACACACACAAATATATACCTACTAATAATGATCACGAATGAGGAGGTATATATATTTTTAACTCCCTGATGGGATTAATTTCTAACTGAAGATTAGTCTGGTGCTTCTTGAATTTATCCAAGATCTTACTATTCTACTGAGATTTAATGCTACCCTGAAACCTTTGAACAGAAGTTTTCATTCTGATCTTTTTGTTTAGTGATAGTCGTATGCCATTCAAATGCTAATTGTAAAAAACATCTTTCTCTTGAAAAAAAAAAAAATATCCACTTACATTATTCATTTTACCCTGTTTCTGTTAAATGGGAAGAGGTTATTTCTAAGATTTTTCAGGTTTTCAATATTGTTTAGGGCAAAGAAGACATTGTAAATACCAAAGCTTACTTGGACACTGAAAATCTGTTTTGAAGTCTTAAGAAATGTACAACTGACTGCCAAGAAGATCAAATCTGTCTTTTGCTTCAATTTGGTGTTATGTGTTTCTGTATACAAGTGAGAAAGACATCTTGTATGATGCTCTTCCCACTCATGCTTCATGTGATTATTTTGTATTTTCTTTAATATCTTTTTAAGAAAAAAGATCTGACTTTACACAAATCTATGTTCAGTATTTCAGTAGTTTGATGTAAAACATTTTGCCATATTTGTCTTTATATTTGATCTTTTCTATGTTAATGAAAACAAATATCAAATAAGCTAAATTTAAAGAAATCAGAAAGCCTCTCATACATATTTATTAAACAAGCTGAATTTCTTTGACTGCCATTTAAAAATTGTTAATATAAATTGATCAATAAAGTAATATTCGAAAATTGACACTATACTTTATGTATCTGTCTATATTTCTGAGATGAGGTATTATGTACATTATTTGGACTATTGTCCTCATCTTTGTCGCTATATTTATTAAAAGGTTTCAGCCGTTGTATACTTCAGCCTTCTTCAGGTGGTTGGAATGTCGAACTGAACTCTTTATTTCGCTCACTGGGGTACACTTCTAGTTCCATGTGCCATGTTTAATGGATGTCAGTTATCAGTTATCTCTTGTTAATTTCCCTCTCCAAATTCTCCACTGCCTTAACCATGTATTGAACTCACACTCTTTGGGTCCTGTCACTGGATCTAACTAACACCTTTATCCACTGTGCCATAAAGGTGTTAGTTAGATCCAGTGACAGGAACCAAAGAGTGAGTTCAATACCTGGTTAAGGCAGTGGAGAACTTTCAGAGGGAAATTAACAGGAGATAACTGATAACTGACATCCATTAAACATGGCACGTGGAGCTAGAACAGTCTACACCAGTGAGTAAAATAAAGGGTTAAGT